GAGACTAAGTGCATTCCCTAGAATTACTCAACTGCTCTAAAAAAATAAAACACAATTGTTGGCTTCTTCCATATACTAAATACAAAAAGTAGATATTAGAGTGATCTTATTCAGTCCTAGAAGCTTTAGAGATGGTTATCCAGTAAGACTGAGTCTCGGAATTCCTCACAAATTATCTGGAAATCTTTGTATGCTTTCCTTCCCTCCTGCTGGCTACATGTTTGTACTGTCTGACATAAAATATGCCCAGCCATTTTAAAAAAAAAAAACCAAACAACTAAAAAAAACAAAAAAAACCACAACGGAAAAAAAAAAGCAGTTTGTCCCTTTTCTACTTTTGCAGGGCCACAAGTTACATTGTCCCCAAAAAAGTGCTCAACTGCAGCATTCTGGTGCAACAGCCTAGAACGTCTATGGCAAGTTCTTTCAATATGCAACGGAATGTTATAATCAGTACAGTAACTTTAGTGTTTTTATATTCACGTCTACTTGTGAGATACCAGTTTCATCATTTCCAGTTTTGGAAATGCCAGATGTTTTGCACTGATAACATAGAGCTGCAACATGAAAGTTGTCAAGAGTAAGGCTGGAGGATTACGATAGCCAAGGCTTCTGACTCCCTGGGGGGGGGAGTTGAAAGCAATTTGGGATTGTGGTATAAACACATTTCCTGGGCATGTCTGTCAAAATTAACACAGCAGGCATTTTAAATGTCACCTGTAGATTTCACACTTCATATAACTCATCCCTCATCCTTTTGGACATTTTATGCTTCTTTTGGTTTCTGACTGCCTCTTCAATAGGACAATGCTACATCAGCAAAGTATTATTAGTAAGGTTTTCTTTGCAATCATGGATTTGCCTAGATTCAGAAGAAAAGCCAGGTTAGAATTACTTAACACATTTACAGGTCACTTTTCCCCTTAAAACAGGCTCAGATGGACACCTTTACTTCTATTTTGTTAGTCAAAAAACCAAAGTAAAAGCAATTTATCTTCCTCCATGTTAAGAGAGGCTTTATAGGAATTAAATTACTTCAGCACATATAGAGAATGTTCCCAAGACCAAACATCTGATCTAATGAAGCTAGCGAGTGCCAAACAAATTGCTCCAATACACATGCGCTAGAGAAACTGGTGGTGACGTTGCAGAAGCATAACAAGGAACTGGCAATGAAAGCGTTAACCATGACGAAGGAAACTAGGAATGTGGGTAGTTTGACTAAGGATTTCTGGCTGCTGTTAAAACAACAGTTGTTCAGTTGCTGCAGCAACCTATGAAGTCACTAAAAATAAGTTCCAAGCAGTAACTGTATATGGCAAAGGGCAACAGCACACAGAAAAGCTGGATCTGAAATATTACTACTGACAATACGTTGTATTTGAAAGTGAAAGGCAAAGCTTCATGAGACCTCTATAAAACTGGACAGTGAATCAGTGTTTTACTCTACACAGTTCATAATACGTATGTGTTCAAGCTTATCAGATAAACAAGAAAATGTTAAACTGACTTTGGCTTAATAAACTAGCAGGAGAAACTGTAGCGTAAAGTACTGAGCACTGGCGTGGAAGCCAGCAAACTCAGATTATGTTCCTCAGTTTGACCATGGCTTCAGTTTATGCAAGTCATTTTGCTTCTCTGTTCCTTTGCATCCTTTCCTAATATTAATCATTTAAACTATAACCCCTTCATGGTGAGGACTGCTTTTAAACTTAAACTGCCTGAAGAATAGGGTGTTAATCTCAGCTGTATGAACTCTTTAAGTATTGACAGTAATAACAAAAAACATTCCTCCGAGCAGCACTCTTCTAAAAAATAACCGTGTCAGCGACTTCCTGGAAATCAGATCCCAAATGGCATACACACACGTTGTGTTAATGCTTAGTTTAAGTGGTGCCAGAAAATATATTCCAACTGCACCTTTAACTCATCTCATTATTAATGTCATTTATCTAAAGTTAGCAGCAACATGCTAGTCAGCCTGAAGCCCCGCAGTGTGCTGCATGACAACAGAAATAACTACTCCATGAAAGCAGGTGGATGAGATAAACCGGTTGGGGTGGGGAGAGAGAAGTTGCCAAAACCAGAAGGATGCAGTGCAAATGTTATCATGGGCATTCAAAACAGCAATGACTTTGTTTCAACTACAGAAACCCAAAATCTCAGACAGGGGCATTTAGCCAGCAGGCTGTAAAAATTCATCCTCTCTATCCTGGGTATTTGGGAAGGAGTTATAAAAAAAACCCTCTCCAGGAAGTGGAATGGAGGAAGCATTTTTAGGGGTAAACGCCACTCCACATCTTTTTTCCATCACGGGATGGGAGGACAGGGACTGTGTGAATAACAGCGGGTAGCTGACTGCATGTTAAATTCCCTGGGTATAGAAAACTTGGAAAGTTCTCAAAATAAAACAAATACAGGAATAGGACATACTGGATAGTACAAGTTGTAAACAGGAAATAATGAAAAGGACTGAAAAAGCTGTGGTGAGTAGCTGAGGAGGCCTTAATGCTCATGATGATTTCTTGAGAAGAAGGTGTGGGGAGGGGAGGGTCGGAAGAAGTGTTGATGGAGGAAACCAACTGAAGGAGGATTGGAAAGTATGCTTGACAAGTGTATTAAGAGATCCTGACAATGACCATGACAAAAAAAGAAAGGGAGGGGAAAAAAAACAAGAAAAAAAAAAAAGCGCTTTGTGGCCTCCACTGCTTCAGAATGCAGGGTGGTAACCTAGAACAGAACATTTGCATAACACTAGGATTTCAAAGTAAAATCTTTTACCCTTCAACAACAACATATTTTAGAGAGGGCAGAAAAACTACTTAACCTACGGCAGAGGCTATGGGCAGCCTCTGCTATTTAAAGAGAAGCTTCTGATAGCCGAGGAGAAAGGCTTGATAGTAATTCTGATCCTAGGCAGATTTTCTCTCTCCTTTTAAAATGAAGAGTCTTACACAGTGAATAATTCACCACTTCTCTCTGGAAATAAAACCTAAGCATAGTCTAAGTAGTTGTGGTTTTGCAGGGTTCCAAGAACACAGACCAAAACTGCAAGACACTTGATGTTTACTTCAACATAGGTGAAAAAGGATTGGGAACGAAGATTCCCATGAGGTATAACTTCGTAAAGCCACCTAAGACCTGCATTTCACTTCCTGAGCGAGCCTCAGATCCCAGAGCAGGAAGGGTGAGCAGAATCAGAGAGGAAGTACACTTCGTCCTTGGGGAAGGGTGTTCCTTGCAAGAGTGTTCTTCTTCCCAGTCCAGGAGCAATGTTGACTAACGGAAACAACTGGCTTTAAAACTAAAACTGTAGGAGTTTTGTAAAACAAAGAGAAAATACAGGGTGGGAGGTACAAAGAAAGCTCCAAGAAGTAGACCACATACCACACCCTTAACCTATAATGCCGGGAGAGGAGGGGGCAAGGCCCTCATGGAAACCTGTCAATGGAAAGTTCAGGATGTTGAACGAAGTATGAATAGGTGCCTTTCCTTTCCAGTATGCATAAGCAAGGGTATATGCCAGCATCCTTTGTGAAAACAAACTGAAGCTGGCTTCAGATGCCCTGATTACCACAGATGAAAAGACCTGGGAGAGGAACAGGATTTGAAATGAGCAGTCCAGAATTCTGCTACTAAACAGGTTACTAAGTGGATCCATACGGATTCCCTCCCACAGCAGTGTTGATAAAGGCATACAGGAGGGAAGGCATTATTTTCTTAAGTGAAGGGAGAATAAGAAGAAAAGAGGAATAGGTAAAACTGCATAAACGTAAAAACACAAATCAAAACAATTACTTTTCAGCAGCATTAGATAGCCTGTTTTCTGATCTGTAGCAAGGCCCATTTCTCTGTTTTCATCTGTAGATCTTTTTCAGTAGGTAGATGCTCATTTGTCCACTGAAGTTTGCCTTGCCAAAGCAATCAGCAATGCAAGTTACTACAAGAAACACTACAGGTTAAGGAGGCTTCTTAACTGGACAACACACACATGCTGCAGGTGATTCTGAATTGTTCTCCTTTCGTTAAGGAGGGCAGGGAATCGTTAGACAAACCAGTAATACTCAGATAATCAGTGATACGACCTGTGGAGGAGCTCCGGAATTTAATGGGCTCATGAGGTTTTACAGAGCTGAAGCACTGACGGTTCACTTATTAACTAAGAGCGTGTCCAAACAACTAAATATCTGGGCATTATCGTTACTACTTCTGGATAAATACTAATCATCAAAACAATTCTGATAGTTCTGTTATTGTGAAAGTGCTAATCCCATTTTGCAGATGAATAAACAGAGGGAGAAAGTTTAAGTGACAACAGTAAAAGTCAACATCAGAGCTAAGATTAAATTTAGAAGAATCATATGTTTTAGCAAAGTTAACAGAATTAATGCACACAGATAAGGATCACAATTGGCTACCATTTCCACAGTTTCTCTTCTAGTAATGCTCCAGACAGTACTGGCTTTCCAAGGATCACAGGGATCCCACTCCACCAACAAACATCCAGGTGCTGTTGCTCGCCAGTTGACTGCAAATTACTTGTCCCACATACAGCTCATGATTTCACCTTGTCCAGATGCCAGCCTTGGTCTGTACCTCATAGCACACAATACTCAAGGCATCTTGAACAGACCATTTTCGCTCTTTGATGGACTACAAACATCCTTTGCTCACTCGTCTGTTATCAAGCTACTTAGAAGTTACTCTTTCAAGCTTCTCATATTTTCAGTTATGCAACTACAATTAAATTTCATATTCACCAGTGGATTGCTTTAGTAGACACATTTCACCTGTAATTCAGCTGGTGCCGTCTTTATCCAGGCTTAGATGCTTATTGGTTCATAGCGATGTTACACACTTAGGACACAGCATTAACGCTTTAGGACACAGAAGCATATATCATATATAACTGGTAATACCAGTGTCTGTTTTGCAGGTTGAATATGAATAACGCACACAATATAGATGAGCTAATGACTGAGGCATACTCCTTAAAAAGAATACGAAAGCAGGCTGACATTTAAAATTTTGCAGATTATTAGTTTGCTCAATAAGAATTGTACTTCTCTGTATTTGAAGATCAATATCTAATGAAATGTATTGAAAATATTGTGCTAGTTGTAGAAAAAAAAAAACATGATCTTTATAATAAAGTAGTATCTTCCTTCAGTTCATAGGTTTTGCTTTGTTCTTTATTTTCCCTTTTAAATCACTTTTATGCCATGTGCCAACTGATACATCATGATTCTCTGGACAGGAGAATTACTCTGGCTTTTCAACCCCAGAGCTAAGTGGCTAGAGAGATACACAGTACTGAAGATTCATTAGCAGAAATGTTGTTTGCTCACACTTGATCCAAACATGTTTCCATCACAAACCAAGGATGGAGAAAGCCAGGATTTACTCAGACAGACTTTTCTGTTATCTTCACACTATCCCAACTACTGAAACAAGAATGGGGAACTCACTAGTTTTATATCGATGCTGCAGGTGGACACTAACCAACACATTTAAACAATGAAATGTGCCATATAAGTTGGCAGACAGCAGCTGTAGTACCTCATGTTTAACTGATTGCAGTTTAGGGATACTGGCTCCTCAGCTTGTAATCAAATATTGCGTCAGAAATCCACATCAATTTGATATCAACTTGGCCAGGACCAAGAAGGTTTCTTACATATCGCTCCATTTGTACAAAGTTAATAGGATTCCTATGGATTATATTGGCTTCTCTAACATGTTGTTCTGGGGACAGAGGAACAGAATGAATTACTACCAGAGATAGTTTTGGTCAAGTGATCAAATTCCAGTCACCTCTGCCCACTGGTAATGCTTATCAGTGTTACTAATGAATAACGGTATTTTACTATTCTTACAGTTTTCCCGGAGATCTAAGGCAGCTCCACATGTATTAGCAGCCTTCTGAAGGGGTGTTATCTTCCTTTCACAGGCAGCACAGTCAAGCACAGAATGGCATGGTGACCCATGTCAGAACAAGCCAACAGGGAGCTAAAAACTGCTATCAGGGATCCGTTCACTCTATTCTAACAAAACTGCAATACATACAAGGAGTCTTGATCTGAGACTCTAAAAGTAGCTGTCTGTATTTTAAATGCTGGGAAGAAGATGAACGGGGCTCCCGTATCTATAAAGAGGGATTTAAATTATCCTCCGATTAGGCAACTGAGTGTGACCACAATTCTTACCTGTAGGTTTCAATTTCAAGGATGAGGCCTGCTTTCACCTGCAGTAGTTCTTGGTAGTCCTTCAGGTAATCTGTGATTGACATGGTCAGGAACTGCTTTTCTTCTTCTAGGGCGTCGATTATCCTCTAAACAGAAATATTGATTTTTTAGTTTTGAACTAATATAAAAATCTATACATTTGAATGCCTAATAACGTAAAACTTTTAATTAAAAAAAAAAATCTGAGAGAACAATAAACCAATATGTTCCATCACTTCAAAAACCAGAACAAATCAGCTCTATGACCTCACCATATACAATCTGAAATACATTGTTACTGAAGCAGAGTTTTATGCTAAGATTTCATTTTATGCCTTACTAAGCTAGTTAAATATTTCAGTAAAACTCATTCAGGTGCCCTATGCAAAAGTTAAAGTACACATAGCAAGGAAAATACACTCCTTTATAAATGTGACTTAAATGTGACTCATTTTGTCATTTTAAGAGCATAGATGTACATGCTTAAATCACACTTAAGATCAGGAATTTCGGCGATTGCTTTGCCACGAGAACCTGGCCTATTTCTCTTTATCAGTATTTTCAGTTCCGTAGACATGTGCGTCCAAATCAGTTTTTGGATTCTAACATCTGGAGATACTCATAGTGCCTAGAAGGTGAAGGATGAACCTCCAGCGGTTCCTTCGAGCCAAGTTTTCTACAGTATTTGGACACCTGCTTCGTAGTCCACCCAACTTTGTCCTAACTGCTACTCAGAAGACATACAAGGGATTGCTCATTTTCATCTTGATAGCTAAATATAACTTTGTACCTTCGGGGGGCGGGGGGGGGGGGTGTATCGGAGGAGGGGAGTTCATGT